GGCCGCGGCGGCCGCGGGGGGAACCGCAGCGAGAGGAAGCGCCCCGCGGTCAGGCCTGGCCCGAGGCCTCGCATGGCGCAGGGCAACAGCTGGGAAGAGGCGCGCCAGCCGGCCCCCGGGCGGCTTCCGGCTTCCGACTTCCGGCGCGCGCGCGCGCCCCATTGGCCGAGTCCGCGGTCCGGCGAGACGGCGACCAATCGCAGGCCTGAGCGACGCGGCGGGGCGGGGCTGCGTGAGACGCGGGACCAGAGCCAAGTGAGGCAAAGGTTGGGGTCTGGGCGCCCCGCCGGCTGCGGGTCCCGCGTGCGAGGGGTGCCGTCCCCTGGTCGCTTAGCGGCACCTCGTCACCACCTCAGCTCTTCTCCTTGTACCACTCTCCCGCTGGCCTTTGCGTTTCAGAATCCCGGTGCAACATTGTCACCTAATTTATCAGAGTTTAGGAGCCTACCTACTTCTCCATCTCCTCTCCTAGGAGGACACTCTGCTTTCCTAAGCGTGATGTTGTTGTTGGTCGGTGGGTTTTAAATAATGACTGGAATATCAGTCTTTGCGGGGGAGGAGGGAAATGTATAGTCTTATTAGAAAATACGAATGGTATAGATTTATTTGCAAATGAGAAACTCTTAAATGGGAGAAAATGCAGGACTGGGAAGGTAAAGCAAGCGTGTTTCCCTGAGCAGCAAATGCTCCTAGCCTTTCTAGGACTGTTTCTCACGAGAAGCGTTTTTCAGGAGCAAAGGGAGATGGGATGTTTGCACAGCGTAGGTCAGATAGCTGCAGCTCTCCTTCCTCTTCTGCTCACACACACACTTTCAAGGTGGAATCAGGTGCGAGGGAGGCTGGGAGGCCGTGGCAGCTCTCCTGCATATATGATGGGAAGTTGGTGCATGCGTAGTGACTCTGGCCTCAGGCTTCAATCCCTCTCTGGTCTTTAAGTCACGGCATTTGGTCATTGCCTGGTCAGGTAACTCTGTGCATGTTTGTTTCACCCAGTCTTGTTTGTCTTCTGAAAAATACTTTAGTTCTGTGTTATTTTAAGATACTAAAACAACGCCTCTTAGATATGAAGAATACACTTTTGACATCAGACCACAAAGCTGTTTCTTAGAACTTCATGTTTTAACAAGTGTTTAGTTCTGTGTGTATTAGTAAATGTTCGTAAGCCATGATTCTAGAATCTGGGGATGTGTGAGCAGCCTTTCATCTTTCTTCCTCCCTCCCTCCCTCCCTCCCTCTTTTCTCTCTTCCCTCCTTTCTTTTTGCTCCCCCTCCCCACCAATTTCTATAAGCTGGTTCTTTGGCTTTTATTTTTCATAATGTCCTACATCAGTGTATTTTCCCAAGGACTGGCCCCTCCTGACAGCATGCCCAAAGTATGTAAAATCGCACTGTCCTTGCCTCTAAGGAACACTCTTCTAAGTATTTGTTCTTTTGGCAATCCACGGTATAGTCCATACTCTCCACCAACACCACAATTCAAAAGCATTAATTCTCTGATCTGTCTTATTACTTGTCCTACCTTCACATACAAATGAAGCAGTTGGAAATATCTTGGCTTGGGTCAGGTGTACCTTAGTCTTCAAATGAATATCCTTGCTCTTTAGCACTCCAAAGAAGTCTTTACTAGGCGATTTGCTCATATTTCTTTGTTAAAAATCTTTATTTGCACATTTTCTTCCCTTCTTCTCCCCCCTCCTCCAGTCCACTTTGCAGTGCACTTCGTGTTCCAGATAATCGTCATACATATATTACCTATTTCAGACTTTTAAAAAATGTTTCTATGGGTGTGCATTGTGGATCCAAGTAAAATGAGGTTCTTGACAACTTCAGTCTTTTCTCCATTTATCACCATGTTGCCAAACCCATTCATTGTCACTGAGTGGATTCCACTTTATGGCACCCTCTAGCAACATTACAGTACAGAGTAAAAGTGCCAAAAAGGACTTTCGAAGCTGCAGTGTTTACGGCAGCAGACTGCCACAGCTTTCTCTCGCAGAGAAGCTGGTGGATTTGAACCACCAAGAGCTTCTCAGCAGCCAGATGCCACCAGAGCACCTGCCAACAAATGGCCCAGCAGCTTCATACCTAAGTACATACCCAGGAAAATTGAAAACATACGTCCACACAAAGAATTGTCCTCAAATGTTCTACCAGCTGGTAAATGGGTAAGCAGCCTGGGGTACATTCACATACTAGAACAGTATTCAGCCAGAAAAAGGAATGGAATTCTTATTCATTCTAGACTGTGAATGAACCTTGAAAACAATTATATGGTAGTTTAAAAAAAACCCCGAGGCTAGGCCAGGTGGTAGCCCAAGACACCTGGCTTCTTAGTGCTGCTGCTTTAGAACCTTCCAGGCATCAGCAGTTCGCTTTGTATACACTTTGTTCTCCTTTTTGTTTCCCCACTTTGAAATTGCTTTTCCTGATAGAAGGACTCGGGTTGTCTGAAGTCACTGCACACTGCGTCTCGCCCACATAGCGCTGGTTCACTCTACTTAGTGTGTACTTCCTCCACTGGATGGAGGGCAACCAAGCCAAGGCTCCCTGCTCAGCCCTCCCCTCCTTGCCTTTCAACAGTTCCCCATGGGAAATGTCAACAAGTATGAATGAATAAAGACACCATTTGAGTGGCAAAAAAAACCCCAACAAAACAAAACCCAACAGTTTGCAAAGGCCATATATTATTATCATCCCTTTGGCATTAAACACCTGGAATAGGTGAAATCCATAGAGAAATAAAGACAACTAATGGTGGTATAATCAGTTAAGTGCATTCTGCAGGCACAGTAAGGATGTTAACTGAAAGATTATCAGTTCGAACCCTTATTTAAAAATCCAGTAGATTGAATCTGATTGGTCATAGTTTGGATCAGGTGTCCAGAGTCACACACAGAAAGTTGGGCCTTTAGGAGATCCACTCTTTTGGATGCAGATAGAATGTTCAGAAAAGAGAGATGTTCTTCCCCAAAGCTGTCTCCTGCAAGTATAAAAATACAGCAGTAAGAGAACCTTGGTAAGAAGAAAATAAATCAGTCATCATTTTAGCTTCTTAATCACGGCAGTTTTTATTTTTGTAGATCCTTCTAGTATTTGTCCACAGGCCAGCGTATTTTTCTGAGCTGTAATCACTGTGTTTGTGCTGTTTTATTTCCGGTTCTTTCACTTGCTATCATTTTGCAAACCCTTCCCCATGCTTCTCAATCACCTCCTTAATTATCCTTAATGGCTATATATCATTCAATTGAGCTGATGTCCTATTATCTGCTTAATCACTTTGCTTTTTCTGGATATTTTCATAGTTTCTGTTTTTATTGCTAGTGTATATACATAGCTTGCAGGAAATACTTTTCATGTGTACTTATTTCCTCCCCTGTACTTGAGTTGCTCAGATTACTTAGAAAACTCAAATAAGATAAAAATTTCTGCAAACTGTCAAACTAACCAATTAAAAAGAAGCATGCAGACTTGCTGGAGGGAGCTCTGGTGGTGGTTTCACCCTTAGTGAGTCACACTGTTATTACAAAGACTGTACCTTTGTGGCTGTTTGAATCCACCAGAGACTCTGAGAGAAAGATGGACATTCTCCACGCTTGCCATTTATAGCCTCTGGAACCCAGTGGATGGACAAGTGTGAGTTGGTTCCAACACCACAATGATGAGTTTGGGTTTTGAGTTTGGAACTCACTGGAGATCATTGGAAAGGCAGCCAAAGAGCCTGGGAATCTCTCCTGCCCCAGGGAGGCCCCTGGTCTTCCCTCCTTGATGTGTTTCTGTCTCTTTCTTCACCCACTGTCGCTCTCTTCACCCACCGTTCTCCAAACTTGTTCCTGGTATAAATATACTTCTTTCCCTTCCAGTTGTGTGTGAGTTTGTCTGTAACAATAGATAATAGATGGAAAAAAGTTAGAAATTGTCACTGATTTTATCTTACTTAGATCAACAGGCCAAAAGATGGGTTTGCATGAGGAAAGTCTGCAGTCAGGGATCGCTCTAAAGTGCTGAAGAGCAAGGATTTTAAAGATGAAGGTGCCCCTGATTCAAGCCCTGGTGTCTTCAATTCCTCCCCATACATCTGAGAGTTAGACAGTGAATACAGATGACAGAAGAATTGATGCCCTTGAGCTGTGGTGGAGAAAAGCACCAAATATTTCATGGACTGCCAAGAGAACAAACAGGTATCCTAGGGAAAGTGCAGCTAGGGTGCTCCTTTTTTTTATGGTGAGAAAAATTTATTACATTTAGAATTAGCCCACTGGACTCAGTTTAGATGATCCCAATTTTGTTGGCAACATCCAAAGCATCATAATCAGGAGCAAGTCGAACATAGGCCTTCTTCTCTCCATCAGGCCTAATCAAAGTGTTGACCTTGGCCACATCAATGTCATAGAGCTTCTTTACAGCTTGTTTAATTTGGTGCTTGTTGGCCTTGACATCCACAATGAACACAAGTGTGTTGTTATCTTCTGTCTTCTTCATGGCTGACTCAGTGGTCAGGGGAAATTTGATGATGGCATAGTGGTCAAGCTTGTTTCTCCTGGGAGCGCTCTTCTGGGGGTATTTGGGCTGCCGTCAGAGTCTCAGTGTCTTAGGCCGCCTGCAGATCTTCTTTTTTTTTTGGCTGTGGACGCCCTTCAGGACTGCCTTCTTGGCCGTCAATGCCTTTGCTTTGGCTTCAGTTTTGGGAGGGGCAGGGGCTTCCTTCTTGGCTTTCGGTGCCATCTTCGTAGAAAGCTAGGGTGCTCCTTTGAGGGAAGGATGGTGAATCTTTTTTTTTTTTTTCTATTGTTTTGTGTGCGTGTACCGTCAAATCAGATCTGACTGGTACAGGAGGATATTGCGCCTCCTTCTCCTGCAGAGCATCTGGTGGATTCGAACCGTGTTCCTCTGGGATTGCAGTGCAGCATCTTGCCACTAGGCCACCAGAGCTCCCCTAGGATGGTGAATCTTTGTCTACGTACTTTTGGCACGTTGTCAGGAGGGACTTGCTGATTGCCTTTGAGTCGAGCACAACTGATAGCGACCCTATGAACAAAAAGGCCTGAAGCCCCTCTGCAACTATCGACATTTATCA